GGATTGTCTGGTCCAGACAGACCACCGTAATGCTGTACAGCGTTAAACAGCCACAGACAAAAGATGCCGAAACTAATGATTAGATCTAGAGGCACTGTCTTCGCCCGATAAGTTGTCCTTGCTAAATGTTGTTTTGGTGAGTGAGTGAGTTTGTTTAAGATTTAGTTTTACGCCCGCACTCCAGCAATATTCCAGCTTATGTGGCGGTGCTCTGTAAATAATCGAGGAGTCTGGGCAGATAATCCAGTGATCAACAGCATGAGCATCGATCTACGCAATTGGGAACCGATGACATCCGTCAACCAAGTCTGACCACTTCGACCCCGTTAGTCGCCCTCTACGACAAGCATGGAGTTGTTCAAGATCACTCCTAACCCGGATCTTCACGGGCTTTTCATAGGTGATTCCTCATGAAGCGAACAAACAGAATTCAGTTCTATATTTGCCCTTTTCAGCAAAAGTGATGTCAGAGGCAATTCCCCTGTTCACGTTTACACCAACCCTCCAGATGCTACTTCTTGATTTTGAAGTTGAAACAAAATATGTCAACCAAGAAAGCTGCACGCAAAACGATGCCAGAGGTGAAGCCAACAATAAAATAATGTTATCTACAGTTTTGTTATAATAATATCTGTTTCGCACAAACGCAGAAAAATTACTGTAAACTAACTGAATGGAAGAAAAAAATGAATAAATTTGTCAATTAATACAATGGCAGTATATAATACAGCAGTGGTAATGCCAATGTGGGATAACAATATTCACCTGACAGTATATAATACAGCAGTGGTAATGCCAATGTGGGATAACAATATTCACCTGACAGTATATAATACAGCAGTGGTGTTGCCAATGTGGGATAACAATATTCACCTGACAGTATAGAATACAGCAGTGGTAATGCCAATGTGGGATATATTCACCTGGGATAACTATATTCAGTATATATATACAGCAGTGGTAATGCCAATGTGGGATAACAATATTCACCTGACAGTATATAATACAGCAGTGGTAATGCCAATGTGGGATAACAATATTCACCTGACAGTATATAATACAGCAGTGGTAATGCCAATGTGGGATAACAATATTCACCTGACAGCATATAATACAGCAGTGGTAATGCCAATGTGGGATAACAATATTCACCTGACAGTATATAATACAGCAGTGGTAATGCCAATGTGGGATAACAATATTCACCTGACAGTATATAATACAGCAGTGGTAATGCCAATGTGGGATAACAATATTCACCTGACAGTATATAATACAGCAGTGGTAATGCCAATGTGGATAACAATATTCACCGGTGACAGTATATAATACAGCAGTGGTAATGCCAATGTGGGATAACAATATTCACCTGACAGTATATAATACAGCAGTGGTAATGCCAATGTGGGATAAAATATTCAATATTCACCTGACAGTATATAATACAGCAGTGGTAATGCCAATGTGGGATAACAATATTCACCTGACAGTATATAATACAGCAGTGGTAATGCCAATGTGGGATAACAATTCACCCGACAGCATATAATACAGCAGTGGTAATGCCAATGGGATAACAATATTCACCTGACAGTATATAATAAGCACCAATGCAGTGGTAATGCCAATGTGGGATAACAATATTCACCTGACAGTATATAATACAGCAGTGGGATAACAATATTCACCTGACAGTATATAATACAATGCCAATGTGGGATAACAATATTCACCCTGACAGTATATAATACAGCAGTGGTATATAACAATATTCAGCAGTAATGCTGGCAGGTAATGCCAATGTGGGACAATAACAATATTACACCAGTGACAGTATATAATACAGCAGTGGTAATGCCAATGTGGGATAACAATATTCACCTGACAGTATATAATACAGCAGTGGTAATGCCAATGTGGGATAACAATATTCACCTGACAGTATATAATACAGCAGTGGTAATGCCAATGTGGGATAACAATATTCACCTGACAGTATATAATACAGCAGTGGTAATGCCAATGTGGGATAACAATATTCACCTGACAGTATATAATACAGCAGTGGTAATGCCAATGTGGGATAACAATATTCACCTGACAGTATATAATACAGCAGTGGTAATGCCAATGTGGGATAACAATATTCACCTGACAGTATATAATACAGCAGTGGTAATGCCAGTGTGGGATAATAATATTTACCTGACAGTATATAATACAGCAGTGGTAATGCCAGTGTGGGATAACAATAATCACCTGACAGTATATAATACAGCAGTGGTAATGCCAATGTGGGATAACAATATTTACCTGACAGTATATAATACAGCAGTGGTAATGCCAATGTGGGATAACAATATTCACCTGGCAGTATATAATACAGCAGTGGTAATACCAATGTGGGATAACAATATTCACCTGACAGTATATAATACAGCAGTGGTAATGCCAATGTGGGATAACAATATTCACCTGACAGTATATAATACAGCAGTGGTAATGCCAATGTGGGATAACAATATTCACCTGACGGTATATAATGGTAATGCAGCAGTGACGGTAATAATGCCAATGTGGGATAACAATATTCACCTGACAGTATATAATACAGCAGTGGTAATGCCAATGTGGGATAACAATATTCACCTGACAGTATATAATACAGCAGTGGTAATGCCAATGTGGGATAACAATATTCACCTGACAGTATATAATGCAGCAGCGGTAATGCCAATGTGGGATAACAATATCTCACCCGGACAGTATATAATACAGCAGTGGTAATGCCAGTGTGGGATAACAATATTTACCTGACAGTATATAATACAGCAGTGGTAATGCCAATGTGGGATAACAATATTCACCTGACAGTATATAATACAGCAGTGGTAATGCCAGTGTGGGATAACAATATTCACCTGACAGCATATAATACAGCAGTGGTAATGCCAATGTGGGATAACAATATTCACCTGACAGTATATATACAGCACACCAATGGGGATAACAATATTCACCACGAGAAATAATGGGAGCGAGTGGTATATTCACCTGACAGCATATTCACCTGACATATAGCAGTGGTAATGCCAATGTGGGATAACAATATTCACCTGACAGTATATATAATATTCAGCAGTGGTAATGCCAATGTGGTGATAACAATATTCACCTGACAGTATATAATACAGCAGTGGTAATGCCAATGTGGGATAACAATATTCACCTGACAGTATATAATACAGCAGTGGTAATGCCAATGTGGGATAACAATATTCACCTGACAGTATATAATACAGCAGTGGTAATGCCAATGTGGGATAACAATATTCACCTGACATATATAATACAGCAGTGGTAATGCCAATGTGGGGATAACAATATTCACCTGGTACAATGCATGGTAATGCCATGTGGGATAACAATATTCACCTGACAGTATATAATACCAATGTAATGCCAATAACAATATTCACCTGACACTATATAATACAGCAGTGGTAATGCCAATGTGGGATAACTTAATATTCACCTGACAGTATATAATACAGCAGTGGTAATGCCAATGTGGGATAACAATATTCACCTGACAGTATATATAATACAGCAGTGGTAATGCCAATGTGGGATAACAATATTCACCTGACAGTATATAATACAGCAGTGGTAATGCCAATGTGGGATAACAATATTCACCTGACAGTATATAATACAGCAATATTCACCTGACGGTAATGTCAATGTGGGATAACAATATTTACCTGACAGTATATAATACAGCAGTGGTAATGCCAATGTGGGATAACAATATTCACCTGACAGTATAAAATACAGCAGTGGTAATGCCAATGTGGGATAACAATATTCACCTGACAGTATATAATACAGCAGTGGTAATGCCAATGTGGGATAATAATATTCACCTGACAGTATATAATACAGCAGTGGTAATGCCAATGTGGGATAATAATATTCACCTGACAGTATATAATACAGCAGTGGTAATGCCAGTGTGGGATAACAATATTCACCTGACAGTATAAAATACAGCAGTGGTAATGCCAATGTGGGATAACAATATTCACCTGCCAGTATATAATACAGCAGTGGTAATGCCAATGTGGGATAATAATATTCACCTGACAGTATATAATACAGCAGTGGTAATGCCAATGTGGGATAATAATATTCACCTGACAGTATATAATACAGCAGTGGTAATGCCAATGTGGGATAACAATATTCACCTGACAGCAACTATGGTCAAGCTTCCAAAATAGGCTGAGGCTGAAGATCCAGGGTGGAAACTGATCTTCACACAAGCTCCGGTCTTGACATAATGTGACATATAAGGGTGAGTGAGTGAGTGATTATGGTTTTACGCCGCTTTAGCAACATTCAGCTATATCACGGCGAGGGACACCAATAATGGGCTTCACACATTGCGCTCATTTTGGGAATCGAACCCGGGTCTTTGGTGTGACGAGCGAACGCTTTATCCACAAGGCTACCCCACCGCCCCTGACATATAAGGACATGCATGCACGTTATATAGTCATACAAATCCTCCAGAATGTTTTACACAATCCAGCATTTGATATTCTGTTCTCGAAGGTTCCATGTTATATTGGGCGCCGGTATCTGAATATAGTAAGTTAAACACCTCTACCCTCTAATGATCCTTAAGAGAAGCATTGCAGTACAATCACTTTTTTCATTACAAAACTGTCATATTTGTCGGTGAGGGCGGTGGGGTACCTAGTGGTTAAGACGTTCGCTCGTGTGGGGAATAGAACCCGGTCTTATGCGTGACGAGCGAGCGCTTTAACCACTAGGCTACCCCACCGCCCCTCTTGGATATTGATTTTATTGGACACAAATGGAGGTATTGACGGCGATCTTGAGTCTGGTTGGCTGACATTCTTCGCATCGCATCATTGCTCTTACTCACAAGGGAGGATTGATCACTTGTTACCAAACATGCAGGAAGGATCTACTCGATAAGTCATAATGAAGAACTTATCCCTGTTTGGTTTAGCTTTAATACCTTGGTGTGGAGTATTTAATTCTTGTGTACAATCAGGACTTTCAAAATGGAATGGCGTCAAGGACAGAATTTCAACTGGCTCTGTCTACCATATATTTCGAAAAACCACATTTGAACACTGTTCAAGGCTCTGCGTGTATTCGTCGAGGTGTGTGTCCATCAACTGGATCTCATCAGCTAAAGAATGTCAACTGAACTCCCAACGTGTCAGTGCCCACACCTGGCAAGACCTACCCGGATCTGTGTACTTACCTCGGAAACTTATCCCACCTCAGGTAGGACGGAAACTGAGTGATCGAGAAATGTCCAATAATTTAGCAACACTAAATGAGTGAGTGGGTTTAGTTTTACGCCGCACTCGGCAATATTTCAGCTATATGGCCGCGGTCTGTAAATAATTAGCAGCGAATCCAGTGATCAACAGCATGTGCATCGATCTACACAATTGGGATTCGATGACATGTGTCAACCAACTCAGTGAGCCTGACCACCCGATCCCGTCAGTCGCCTCTTATTACAAGCATGGTTTACTGAATATAAATTCTAACCCAGATCTTACAGATTTCTTGGTTGACATAGTTTCATTCAAGAAACATTGCAGTACAATTACATTGGGTTGGTAGACGTGAATAGGGAATTGCCTCTCACATCACTTTTGCTGATGGGCAAATTTAGAAATACATTCCGTTTGTCTTCTTCCCTGAGGCATTACCAAACAAATCCGTGAAGATCCGAGTTAGAATTGATCTTCAGTATCCCATTCAGACGACTAACGGGACCAGGTGGTCTGGCTCGCTGACTTGGTTGACATATGTCATCGTATCCCAACTGCGTAGATCGATGCACATGCTTTGATCACTGGATTGTCTGGTCTAGACTCGATTATTTACAGACCGCTGCCATATAGCAGGAATATTTCTGAGCTGTTGATGTATCGAGCTGTTAGACTAATCCAAGGGAATTTGTTTTTTTAAGAACGCAAGTAAGCTGCGTATATTCGTAAAATACACCAAACAAAACATTACAAACCAATTTGGCAATGTGCAAAAAACAAGAAGATGCCAAAATAATGTAACAAATAGGAATTTTTTTTGTATTATAATTTTGTGACTAGGTAGCCAGTTCGCTTTGCACACCACAGTTAATAAGAGTCTTTATTTATTTACACAGACTACAGTGAATAGCGAACAAAGTTTTACGTCTCATTGCATCTTAGAAATTGAATTGTTGTTACTGAGACTTATGCAGCCGTAATATGACGCACTTGGGCTGGAACATGCACATATGCAAGTTAGAAGTATTCTCAACTGACATTTCAACACCGGATTACATTTTTATATTTCTAGTCAGTGATTTATAACTAATAGACTAGACCCAAAGGAGGATCGGAGGACAAACTGAAAACCCAAACAACAACCATAAATAAACAATGTGAATCTTAACACCCAGTCAATATTCATTAGCTAATAGATGACTGTGTTAAAGAATCTGTATCGAAACGTCGCACTCAAGAAGTAAAAAGTTGATGTCCGTACAGTTTGTCAATAATGGCTGAAAGCATTATTTCCCCTGACACGTCGACGAATACGTTATCGACCAATGTTGAAAAAGTTCATTGTTTGGGTATATTGGATTGAATTTTGTGCAGCTGCAAGTGACAAAATTACTGCCTCACATGCTGCTTGAGTATCATGTGGGAATAAGAGGTGAGTGAGTGAGTGAGTGAGTGGACTGACTGACTGAGTTTGGTTTTACGCCGCTTTTAGCAATATTCCAGCAACATCACGGCGGGGGACACCAGAAATGGGCTTCACACATTGTGCCCATGTGGGGATTCGAACCCGGGTCTTCGGCGTGACGAGCCAACGCTTTAACCATTAGGCTACCCCACCTAATGGGTGGGTGAGTGAGAGAGTGAGAGAGTATGGCTTTACGCCAATTTTAGCAATGTTCCAGCAATATCACGGCGGGGGACACCAGAAATGGGCGAATGAATGAATGAATGAATGAATGAATGAACGAACTGATCGATTGACAACCCAGGAGGGTGCTTTAACCTTGCTTACTGGTCATGTGCTCTTTTAATAGTTTTTGACACATATTCTGATAAATGTCAGCTATAAGACGGTTGTCCGTAACTAACGAGTCAGTTCTACACAATCTAGTGATTAACATCATCAGCATTATCAGCTGGGATTCGATCAACGTCATCGATCCCGACCACACCATCTTTGAATGTCCTCGTAAGAGAAGCACCATTTTTTCGCACTTACCCACGAGTAGCCTGTGGTCAGTGGGTTAAGATTATTTGGTATATGGCCAGATGGTGGCCACATGGATACGCGCAAACACATATTTGCGGGTACAGCAACGTGCAGTAAACATGGAAAAAGTACTGTGACTATGTGTCCCAGTCCACCCAGCTGTGAATGGGTACCTCGAAAGGGTGGGAAAGCCACACTAACTCGGTGCGCCTAGTGGCAGCAAGAGTTGTATGATCCCCAGGGAGTTGAGGTTGATAACATGATGTGCCGCTGAGATTGACATCCAATGATCGAGGGGAAAAAAGACAAGCGCTTTGAGCATGCATGTGGGATGGACTATAGCGCTACATAAATACCCATATATAGATTGAGATGCATGGAATAGTAATATGTTTCGATTTTGACATCGTTTATTTTAGGCCCAAAATGCGATATTTACTCTTTGACTGTCTCGAACACCTGATATCACATCTGTTTGAACCGCCTCCGTGGTGTAGTGGTTAGAGCGTCCGCCCGGAGAGCGGAAGGTCGCGGGTTCGATCCCCGACCGCGTCATACCAAAAGACGTTAAAATATGGTACTTGTTGGTCCCTGCCTGGCGTTCGGAATTAATGGGTACAACAAGGACTGGTCGGCTCGGAGTCAGTATAATGTGTCTGAGTGGGGCATTCATGCTTCACTGCGGCATGGTATCTCAGTGGGCTAGCACTATAAAACCTGCTTAAGTCTGGGCTAGTACAAGCAGCGGCACATACACATACACACGCATGCACGTCGTCATATGAGTGAAATATTCTCAATCACGACGTTAAACCCAATTTCACCTCACCTCATCTGTTTGATAGTGAATCAAGAACATAATCCTCATGGCACATATGAAATCTAACAATCGAACGCTTTAGTAGATTTCAAGTGATTGCTGAACGTAATGATGAACGTGTATTCCTGGTTTGTTGGTTGAAATGCTGTTATTGCAATGGAGGCGTTCTTAATACTTATTGTGGTTGGAAGTGGCCGCGAGATGTGCAAACAATGAAAGTCAAAGCCGGGGAAATAATAGCGGTACTGATATGCCTCTCTGGGGCAACCAGTGACCTGTGAACAATTGGAGACAATCATTTCTGTCATTATATCTTAATGCTTATCAAGATATCTGCAGTTTTCTTTACACAATTGAAACAGACAACAGGACATAATTCCCTAGAACAATACTACAATAGAACCATCTGGGATTCTAGAAAAGAACAGGTACTCAACAACCTGTGTTGGTTGAAAGAGGTGACTTCAGATGAATGGTCAGGCTTTGTGACTTCTTTGTCAGGGTGCACCGGATGACGTGGAAGGCTGCTGACTTAACAGGGTGGATGTTTGTCTGGATGTTCGTTACAGCTGTGACATTTCACTGTGAATCAAATCAAATCAAATCTCTCACCCCCCCTTTTTTTGTTTTCATTGTGGGGGATTAAAACAAACCTTTGTTTTCTCCATTGGTAGAAACCTTATAAACTACAGGGCAAAAGAAAGTTATCACCGACTTCAGTTGACAAAAAATAGAAACAAAGGCGTATGTGAGATTTATGTTAATAATTTTACATGCAGAAATCATTTTTCAATAATTTGACTGAAGATTCATTGTAATGCTGGTCTTGCATTTGCCGCAATTCATTAAGTCAGAGTCAAGGGGTCAAAATTACAAATTACACAAATCAGAGTTCATTCAAAAAGTGCAGGTATTCTTGAACTGATGGTGCCAGGCCTTCTGTTGTCGTGCTGCAAAATGGCTCTTCTTGGCTGTTGTCGAATGAAGGACACCACAAAAGGTTTCAACCCTCCATCCCTTTATCGCTAGGCATTCAGTTTTCCTCGGATGATAGCCTGTCTTCTTCTCTGGCCACAAATGCCGCCTCATAACGTCTGCTCCATCGAACGGATGAACCCCTTGAACGCAGTTTGGCGCTAGTCGCTCTCCTCAACCTCGAAAAACTCGAACTATGTCATCGTTTCTGAACAGATTGAACCGATGATGTGTCGTATGACAGTCTGATGACGTGTCATATGCCTTTCGCGAATCTGTTCCGGAGGTGGATCCGCTGGTGCCGTGACTGTTGGTCTTCCCGAACTTGGTTGGTCTTGGGGTCTGGCTTGTTTGCTGGTAGCGGTTTATCAGTTTGCAGATGGTGGTTCTTGCCAGTTGTGAAACCCACATATCCGCCATGGCCCTGGGCCTAGATTTTCTAAGCACTCTTGGCGCTAAGATAGTCGTAAGTTAATGTTAATGTATGGCACTTACGACTATCTTAGCGCTAAGAGAGCTTCGAAAATCTAGGCCCAGTCTTTTTGCGCTTGCGTAAGTCTTGGCATATCCGTGGTGTTGCTTTGGTTACTGCATGCTTACTAGGTCCAACATCGGTATTTATGCCCCAGTCAGGTAGATGCTTGTATTTAGACCAATGTCCCACAATTAAGTTTTCACGTTTTGAAAAATGCACAATTCGTACGGCGTTTTCGGACAGCTGCGTTCTTATGGAGGCTACGTTGCGTTTTGGCGAATGTTTCGGCTTGGGTTCAAAACTTTACCAGCGTTTTTGTTTCTTATGCTTTTTATTTAAAAGTGATAACTTTCTTTTGCCCGGTAGATTAGATATCGATGTATTAAAGTATGATGGTGAAAGTAAGTTTAATCACTATCGTAAAACATTCTGTCACATATAGACCAACCCCACCCTTCCAACCCCGATTGTTAAATGTCCTTACCAGCTGTCGTCTTGCAGCTGTGATATTGCAGTATGGCGTAATGTCAATGAACATTTTCTTCCAGGTCCATCCCTGCGCCGCGAAACCATGCAGACCTGATGAAATGTGTGTACCCGTAACTGCCTCTACAAGACACTTGTGTGTAAGTATTCATGCACCGTCAGACATAAGCATACCGACTCAAGGGACTACGACACATGTTTCATCATCAGTGGCCCTCGGCAATGATGCTTCATCCACAGTTGAAGCCAACGCACCTAATTCTACAGTAACAACCAATGACATTACATCTACATTAACACCAAACGCTGCTACATCTACAGTGACAATCAACGATGCTGCATCTATGGTTACCATCAGTGATGCTGCATCTACCATTACCACAAGTGATGGTACATCTACTGTGACAGCCAAGGATGCTTCGTCTACCGTTAACACCAGTGAGGCTCCATCTACAGCAACAGCCAGGGACATTGCATCTACGGTAACCAACAGTGATGCTACATCTACAGTAACAACCAAGAATGCTGCATCTACCGTTACCACCAGTGGTGCTGCATCTATAGTAACATTCATGGACACTGCATCTACCGTTAACACTAGTGAGGCTACATCTACAGCAACAACTAAGCATGCTGCACCCACGGTTACCAACAGTAATACTTCATCTATAGCAACAACTATAGACACGGCACCTACAGTTAACAGTGATGCTACATCTACCGTGACCACCCCGAATGATGCATCTACAGTTACCAGTGATGATACATCTACCGTGACCACCCCGAATGATGCATCTACAGTTACCAGTGATGATACATCTAGCGTGGCCGCCCGGAATGCTGCATCTACAGTTACCAGTGATGATACATCTACCGTGACCACCCCGAATGATGCATCTACAGTTACCAGTGATGATACATCTACCGTGGCCACCCCGAATGCTGCATCTACAGTTACCAGTGGTGATACATCTACCGTGGCCACCCCGAATGCTGCATCTACAGTTACCAGTGGTGAAACATCTACCGTGGCCACCCCGAATGCTGCATCTACAGTTACCAGTGGTGCTACATCTACCGTGGCCACCCCGAATGCTGCATCTACAGTTACCAGTGATGATACATCTACCGTGAAGGCCCCGAATGATGCATCTACAGTTACTACCAGTGATGCTACATCTACCGTGACGGCCCCCAATGCTGCATCTACAGTTACTACCAGTGATGCTACATCTACCGTGACCTCCCCGACTGATGCATCTACAGTTACTACCAGTGGTGCTACATCTACCGTGACCACCCCCAATGATGCATCTACAGTTACTACCAGTGGTGCTACATCTACCGTGACCTCCCCGACTGATGCATCTACAGTTACTACCAGTGATGCTACATCTACCGTGACGGCCCCGAATGATGCATCTACAGTTGCTACCAGTGGTGCTACATCTACCGTGACGGCCCCGAATGATGCAGCTACAGTTACTACCAGTGATGCTACATCTACCGTGACGGCCCCGAATGATGCATCTACAGTTACTACCAGTGGTGCTACATCTACCGTGACGGTCCCAAATGATGCATCTACAGTTACTACCAGTGATGCTATATCTACCGTGACGGCCCCGAATGCTGCATCTACAGTTACTACCAGTGATGATACATCTACCGTGACGGCCCCGAATGATGCATCTACAGTTACTACCAGTGGTGCTACATCTGCCGTGACGGCCCCGAATGATGCATCTACAGTTACTACCAGTGATGCTACATCTACCGTGACCTCCCCGACTGATGCATCTACAGTTACTACCAGTGGTGCTACATCTACCGTGACCACCCCCAATGATGCATCTACAGTTACTACCAGTGATGCTACATCTACCGTGACGGCCCCGAATGATGCATCTACAGTTACTACCAGTGGTGCTACATCTACCGTGACCACCCCGAATGATGCATCTACAGTTACTACCAGTGATGCTACATCTACCGTGACGGCCCCGAATGATGCATCTACCGTTACTACCAGTGGTGCTACATCTACCGTGACGGCCCCGAATGATGCATCTACAGTTACTACCAGTGATGCTACATCTACCGTGACCACCCCGAATGATGCATCTACAGTTACTACCAGTGATGCTACATCTACCGTGACGGCCCCGAATGATGCATCTACAGTTACTACCAGTGGTGCTACATCTACCGTGACCACCCCGAATGATGCATCTACAGTTACTACCAGTGATGCTACATCTACCGTGACGGCCCCGAATGATGCATCTACCGTTACTACCAGTGGTGCTACATCTACCGTGACGGCCCCGAATGATGCATCTACAGTTACTACCAGTGATGCTACATCTACCGTGACCACCCCGAATGATGCATCTACAGTTACTACCAGTGATGCTACATCTACCGTGACGGCCCCGAATGATGCATCTACAGTTACTACCAGTGGTGCTACATCTACCGTGACGGTCCCGAATGATGCATCTGCCGTTACTACCAGTGATGATACATCTACCTTGACGGCCCCGAATGATGCATCTACAGTTACTGCCAGTGATGCTACATCTACCGTGACCACCCCGAATGATGCATCTACAGTTACTACCAGTGGTGCTACATCTACCGTGACCACCCCGAATGATGCATCTACAGTTACTACCAGTGGTGCTACATCTACCGTGACCACCCCGAATGATGCATCTACAGTTACTACCAGTGGTGCTACATCTACCGTGACGGCCCCGAATGATGCATCTACATTTACTACCAGTGATGCTACATCTACCGTGACGGCCCCGAATGATGCATCTACAGTTACTACCAGTGATGCTACATCTACCTTGACGGCCCCGAATGATGCATCTACAGTTACTACCAGTGGTGCTACATCTACCGTGACGGCCCCGAATGATGCATCTACAGTTACTACCAGTGATGCTACATCTACCGTGACGGCCCCGAATGATGCATCTACAGTTACTACCAGTGGTGCTACATCTACCGTGACGGCCCCGAATGATGCATCTACAGTTACTACCAGTGATGCTACATCTACCGTGACGGCCCCGAATGCTGCATCTACAGTTACTACCAGTGGTGCTACATCAAGAGCAACAACCATAGACACTACACCTACGGTTACCAACAGCGCTGCCACAACGACAGTAACAACCAAGGGCACTGCATCTACGGTTACCACAAGTGATGCTCCATCTACAGTAACTTCCAAGAATGCTGCATCTACTGTAACCACAAGTGATGGTACATCTACCGTGACAGCCCAGAATGCTGCATCTACTGTAACCACAAGTGGTGATACATCTACCGTGACAACCCAGAATGCTGCATCTACTGTAACCACAAGTGATGATGCATCTACCGTGACAACCCAGAATGCTCCATCTACTGTAACCACAAGTGATGATACATCTCCCGTGACAGCCCAGAATGCTGCATCTACTGTAACCACAAGTGATGATACATCTACCGCGACAACCCAGAATGCTGCATCTACTGTAACCACAAGTGATGATGCATCTACCGTGACAACCCAGAATGCTCCATCTACTGTAACCACAAGTGATGATACATCTCCCGTGACAGCCCAGAATGCTGCGTCTACTGTTACCGCAAGTGATGGTCCATCTACCGTGACAGCTCAGAATGCTGCATCTACTGTTACCGCAAGTGATGGTCCATCTACCGTGACAGCCCAGAATGCTGCATCTACTGTAACCACAAGTGATGGTCCATCTACCGTGACAGCCCAGAATGATGCATCTACTGTAACCACAAGTGATGACACATCTACCGCGACAGCCCTGAATGATGCATCTACCGTAACCACAAGTGATGGTCCATCTACCGTGACAGCCCAGAATGCTGCATCTACTGTAACCACAAGTGATGGTCCATCTACCGTGACAGCCCAGAATGCTGCATCTACTGTAACCACACGTGATGATACATCTACCGTGACAGCCCAGAATGCTGCATCTACTGTTACCACACGTGATGATACATCTACCGTGACAGCCCAGAATGCTGCATCTAGTGTAACCACACGTGATGATACATCTACCGTGACAGTCCAGAATGCTGCATCTACTGTTACCACAAGTGATGACACATCTACCGTGACAGCCCAGAATGCTGCATCTACTGTAACCACACGTGATGATAAATCTACCGTGATAGCCCAGAATGCTGCATCTAGAGAAACAACCAATGACACTGCACCTTCGGATACCAACAGTGATGGCTCAACTACAGTAAGAACCAATCACACTGTATCTACAGTTACAACAAGTGATGGTACATTCACAGTAACAACCAAGGATGCTATACCTACCGTTACCGCCATTGAGGATACATCAATAGTACCTACCAGAGATTATGCCGTTACCACCACTGATGCAACAGCTACAGTAACAACCAAGGACACTACATCTACCAATAGTAATACCACATCTACTGTATCCACAAGTTATTATGCATCTACCGTCACATCCCCGAATGGTGCACCTATTACCAACAGTAATTCTGCATCTACAGTACCTACCAAAGATGCAACATCTACCGTTACCGCCATTGAGGATACGTCTACAGCAACAACCAAACACGATACATCTTCAGTTGCCACCACTGATGCAACAACTACAGTAGCAGTCACAGACACTTCATCTGTGGTTACCGCCACTGAGGCTACATCAACAGCAACAACTAAAGATACTGCATCGACGGTTACCGCCAGTGATGCTACATCTACAGCAACAACCATGGATGCTGCATCTGCCGTTACTAATATTGAGGCTACATCTACAGCAACTACCAAGGACACTGCATCTACCGTACCCACAAGTGATGGCACATCTACAGTAGCTACCAAGAATGCTGCATCAACCGTACCCACCAGTGATGCTACATCTACCGTGACAACCCCGAAGGGAGCACCCAAAGTTTCCACCATTGACGCTACAGCTACCACAACAAACAAACACGATGCATATTCAGTTACCACCACTAATGCAACATCTAGAGTAACAACCAATGACATTGCATCAACGGTGAGCACAAGTGATGGTTCGTCCACAGTAACTACCAAAGATGCTGCATCTACCGTTTCCACCGCAGCAACATCCACGCATGCTGCGTCTGCCGTTAACACTGATGAGGCTACATATACAGCAACAACCAAGGTCACTGCATCTCCGGTTACCAAAAGTGAGGCTATATCTACAGCAACAACCAAGGACACTGCATCTGCCGGTACCAATAGTGAGGCTACATCTACAGCAACAACCAAGGACACTGCATCTGCCGGTACCAATAGTGAGGCTACATCTACAGCAACAACCAAGGACACTGCATCTGCCGGTACCAATAGTAAGGTTACATCTACAGCAACAACCAAGGACACTGCATCTGCCGGTACCAATAGTGAGGCTACATCTACAGCAACAACCAAGGACACTGCATCTGCCGGTACCAATAGTGAGGCTACATCTACAGCAACAACCAAGGACATTGCATCTACGGTTACCACAAGCGATGGTACATCCACAGTAACCTCTACCGCAAGTGATGCTGCATCTACAGTAACATCAAAGGATGCTGCGTCTGCCGTTAACGCTAATGAGGCTACATCTTCAGCAACAACCAAGGATGCTGCATCTACGGATCCCGCAAGTGATGGTACATCTACAGTAACAACCATGGATGCTGCATCTACCGTTTCTAGGAGTGACGCTCTATCTACAGTAACAACCAAGCATGCTGCATCTACAGCAACAAATATAAACACTGCACCCACGGTTCCCAACAGTGATGCTACGTCTACAATACCTACCAAGTATGCTTCATCTACCGCTACCGCAAGTGATGCTGCATCTACAGTGACAACCATGGGTGCTGTAGCTCCGTTGACCACCACTGATGCTCCATCTACAGTAACAACCAAGTATGCTGCATCTACCGTTTCCACCAGTGATGCCGCATCTACAGCAACACGCAAGGACGTTGCATCTACAGTCACCAACAGTGATGCTGCAGCAACAATAACAAACAAGGATGCTGTTTCTACGGTTACCACTACTAATACAGCAACGACAGCAACTACAGCAACAACCAACGATGTTGCATCTGCCGTCACCGCCAGTAATACTACATCTACAGCAAAAGTCAGAGATGCGGCATCTACGATTACCACCAGTGACTTTACAGCTACAGTAACAGCCAGGAATGTTGCATCTGCTCAAACCGCAAGTAATGTTACATCTACCGTGACAGCCCAGAATGCTGCATCTACCGATACCACAAGCGAGGCTACAACTACAGTAACGAGCAAGGACGGTGCACCTACGGTTACCGCCAGTGATGCTACATCTACAGTAACAACCAATGATGCTGCATCTACGGATCCCGCAAGTGATGCTCCATCCACAGTAACAACCAAGGATGCTGCATCTACCGTTTCCACCAGTGAGGCTACATCTTCGAATTCAGCAACAACCAAGGATGTTGCATCAACGGATCCCGCAACTGATGATGCATCTACAGTAACAACCAAGTATGCTGCATCTGAGGCAACATCTGCAACAACAAACCAGGATGCTACATCTACAGTTACAACCAATGCTCCTACATCAACAACCAGCCTTGCTGCATTCACAGTAGTCACAAGTGACGGTACATCCACTGTTACGACCAGTGATAGCGTAATTGCAGTAACACACAATGCTGCTGCATCTGATGTTCCATCTACAGATACAACCAATGATATAGTTATAACTAACGATGCTGCATCTACAATAACCACCAGAGAAGCTGCATCTACAACAATCATTAGTGATGCTGCATCTACAGCAATCATCAGTGATGCTGCATCTACAACAATCATCAGTGATGCTGCATCTCCTGTAGCGACCAGTGACTTTGCTTCGAAAGTAGACACCACGGAAGCAGCTACAACAGCTACGAAAAATGCTGCATCTACAACAGCTACGAATGATGCTACATCTACAACAGCTACGAATGATGCTACATCTACAACAGCCACGAATGATGCTACATCTACAACAGCCACGAATGATGCTACATCTACAACAGCTACGAATGATGCTACATCTACAACAGCCACGAATGATGCTACATCTACAACAGCTACGAATGATGCCGCATCTACAACAGCCACGAATGATGCTACATCTACAACAGCCACGAATGATGCTACATCTACAACAGCGACGAATGATGCTGCATCTACAACAGCCACGAACGATGCTACATCTACAACAGCTACGAATGATGCTACATCTACAACAGCCACGAATGATGCTACATCTACAACAGCCACGAATGATGCTGCATCTACAACAGCTACGAATGATGCTGCATCTACCACATCTACGAATGATGCTACATCTACAACAGCCACGAATGATGCTACATCTACAACAGCCACGAATGATGCTGCATCTACAACAGCCACGAATGATGCTACATCTACAACAGCCACGAATGATGCTACATCTACAACAGCCACGAATGATGCTACATCTACAACAGTCACGAATGATGTTACATCTACAACAGCCACGAATGATGCTACATCTACAACAGCCACGAATGATGCTACATCTACAACAGCCACGAATGATGCTGCATCTACAACAGCTACGAATGATGCTACATCTACAACAGCCACGAATGATGCTACATCTACAACAGCCACGAATGATGCTACATCTACAACAGCTACGAAAGACGCTACATCTACAACGGCTACGAATGATGCTACATTTACAACAGCTACGAATGATGCTGCATCTACAATAGCCACCAATGATGCTACATCTACAACAGCTACGAATGATGCTACATCTACAACAGCCACGAAAGATGCTACATCTACAACAGCTACGAATGATGCTACATCTACAACAGCCACGAATGATGCTGCATCTACAACAGCTACGAATGATGCTACATCTACAACAGCCACGAATGATGCTACATCTACAACAGCTACGAATGATGCTGCATCTACAACAGCTACGAATGATGCTGCATCTACAACAGCTACGAATGATGGTACATCTACAACAGCCACGAATGATGCTACATCTACAAAAGCCACGAATGATGCTGCATCTACAACAGCTACGAATGATGCTACATCTACAACAGCCACGAATGATGCTACATTTACAACAGCCACGAATGATGCTGCATCTACAACAGTCACGAATGATGTTACATCTACAACAGCTACGAATGATGCTACATCTACAACAGCCACGAATGATGCTGCATCTACAACAGCCACGAATGATGCTGCATCTACAACAGCTACGAATGATGCTACATCTACAACAGCCACGAATGATGCTACATCTACAACAGCCACGAATGATGCTACATCTACAACAGCCACGAATGATGCTGCATCTACAACAGCCACGAATGATGCTACATCTACAACAGCCACGAATGATGCTGCATCTACAACAGCCACGAATGATGCTGCATCTACAACAGCCACGAATGATGTTACATCTACAACAGCCACGAATGAAGCTACATCTACAACAGCCACGAATGATGCTACATCTACAACAGCCACGAATGATGCTGCATCTACAACAGCTACGAATGATGCTACATCTACAATAGCCACGAATGATGCTACATCTACAATAGCTACGAATGATGCTACATCTACAACAGCCACGAATGATGCTACATCTACAACAGCTACGAATGATGCTGCATCTACAACAGCTACGAATGATGCTGCATCTACAACAGCTACGAATGATGCTACATCTACAACAGCCACGAATGATGCTACATCTACAACAGCTACGAATGATGCTGCATCTACAACAGCTACGAATGATGCTACATCTACAACAGCCACGGATGATGCTGCATCTACAACAGCCACGAATGATGCTACATCTACAACAGCCACGAATGATGCTGTACCTACCAGTAAAGCTGCATCAACAGTATCCACCAGGGACTGAGCATCTACAACAACCACAAGTTATATTGAATCTTAAGTAGCCCCGGGCATATTACAGCAGGCAACAATGACTCACCCGAGGGAAATTGGTTAAAACGAGTCGAAAACTATTTTCAAGCATTGGCGATTGCGTGAATCCTGAGGTTATTGTAGTACGAAGGGTTTTTATGTGTGCAAGATACATGTGAAGTTGACACGGGATCCCTAACGACAGCTTGTGTCAACTTCTAAATAATTCAAAAGAAAGATCTTAATAACAAAGAAGTTGTAAATCGATACCATACGTTGTTTTGTTACCATCCAACTTCTAAATGTCCATCAAGCTTCTTACCGAAACGTTACACAGAACAATAATTGACTTGGCGTGACAAGACATACCACTGTTCAGGTGAACGATAGAGTTATCCTTTACATTACATATTCATGCTGATGTTGGAAGACATGCCTGCGTATTCCTATTGAACTTTTGCCTACGATACGCTAATTGTGGGGTTGGGAAACATAATTTGAGACCATGAACTTCTTACAGCTACATGCAGGTTCGACATCCCATATCACTACCATGTGGATCACGTCAAACGAGAGACTGACAAATGATTATATATACTCAACAAAAAAAGAAACGTTACGTCCCAAACATGCCCATATAGAACAAGGTGTCTTGATTTACACAGCATTAGCAACCTGCGCCATTCTTTACCAACATGGCGTACATGAACATTTTAGGGTTGGCGTCTTAACGCACGAAGACTTCTTCAGAGACCATCCCAGAGATAGCGAATTGTCCGTCTACAGAGGCAGATACAGCATTTTGAGAATGGGGTGGGGGTGGGGGTGTATGCACAGTTCAGAAAGGGAGGGGACGTGCCAAATCCACAGTATACTGGCCAGCCTGGAGCATGCCAATTGCACGTTAAACATTAGAATTGTTACCAGCGATAATCGTGTTAAAAGGACAGACAACCAGACGTGTATCATTTCTGCAGTCTCAAGACGTGCAGAAATCAGAAAACAACACCCAATTCATCGTTCTGGAATAAGTTCGATATGCCTCGAGAAAAATGACAGATGGAGAGTTCTGCTTTAGTTGCCCGCCCATTCAACATCCACAGAAAGACCTTTGGCATTTCTGGCGACGTTTTACGAAAATCAAGTTATAGACCATCAATGCAGTGTCCGCCCACAAGAAACGACCCCACGTCAAGACTGATGGATTCGCACCTCTGTTTCATGACAGCAACCGTTACATCCCTCAAAATACCTGGCAACGGTGGTCTTATCTGGGAGAACAGTACGACGTCGGCTACTTGCCTACGGCATGCGCGCCCAGCTTGACAGCCAACTGTGACGCCAGAACATCGCGGGAGTCTCTTGTGGAGCAGACGGCACTTGCGATGGGGAGCAGGTAGATGCAGAAGAAGCGACGGAAACTGCAAAAGATGGACACTCTCGATACTGACTATATGAACTTGCTTGTGAACCCACCTGTTACGACGTAAATTGTAATAAAAACGCAAATTGTAATACTTGCATGCGTTAGGAGTATCGTCTAACGCCAGTCGAATTCAGTGACCTTCGGATTATTTTCGTCCCGATAGTGTCCATATATTTTAGAAATCTATAACAATAAAGCACAACTTCACTACTTATTTTGATAAATGACAAAGGATTAATCAACCATATTAAAAGGTTTTCAGGTTTGAAAGACGAAGCTCATTAAAATCTATTGCCAGCTCCCTTTTAGAGACTGATAAAAGGTTCGAAAATGTGGGTCATAAATGCATGAAAGTTTTTATGGTTGTTCATACCCGTTAGGCCTCCCGCCTCTACATGTATTTGAAATATAACCGTTAGAACCACCACCACCCCCTCTATGTCTTAAAGTATGCTAGATATAACCGTTAGAACACACCACACCACTTTTCTGCCCAATTATTCAATTGGGCTAAATCATAGTTGAGAGTTGCTTCTATGGATTTTACATATTTTCCCGCAACACCGATTGATGTGTCATCGACCAACATTATTGTGATATTTTGTAAATTTCCAGGTAAATCATTGATATATACAAGGAACACAAATTAACCAAGGGCAGATCCTTGAGGAACCCTGCAGTAACATTTAGTTTTTCATAATGTTCCATTAACAGAGACACACTGTCGTCTATCAGGGCCCGGTTGTTCAAAAACTCGGTTATCTTTTTAACCAGCCGTTAAGTACATTTAACCGACTGTTACCTAATAACAGAGGGTTATCTTGTTGTTCAAAACTCTGTTAACTTTTAACAGGCTGTTAACGTGACGTTAAGTTAACACACCTAAGGACCGCCGCTAACTTTTTAACAGTGTGGTTAACTCGCAAATGGCGTTCATGGCTAACACTGCTTTCATGATGCCAGTTCAGCAAAGAAAGGATAGGGTGTATCGTTGACTGGACTTCGATATTGGAAATTATTCTGACGAAGAGTTACATACGAAACTGTATCTATGCACATCATAGGAACTAAAATACATGTTGTACAAGTACATGATGCCTACGTTTCATCTTTTAACACTTGTGGAAAGGTTTTTATATGCTTTACTACACTAAATGTGTGAATTTCTTCTGTAAATATTATTCAAACAAACACTTTCAAAGAATATAACACGTACATCCTATACCTACGTATGATATGATATTGAACAAGGCTACATGTAGATAATTAATTTAGTGTCTTGAAAAAATATCCGAACGATTACATTATGATACTGAAAGTGTAATCGGCGGGATATGGTGATTGTGTATACTCTTATTCTACCGACCTTCACCTCAGAGAAATTGCCAAATATGTACAACAATGTTGACGTATGACATCACTACCGTTGAGATTTCTTAAAAAATGCGCATATGGCGGCTGACATGGGTTTTGCGAGGACCCTTCCCTTGATTCAGGGATCGTTTGTACATAAATATGAGATGTAAGTAACCAGAATGATTATGACTAACTGTGTATTGTTACATGTTTTTATCGTTTTCATTTAAGAAAGAGAAGAAGCGGCCAGAAATGCCGATTATTACCGTTGTCGTTCTGCGTGATTTTGCGTCAGTCATGGCGTCACGCAGCACAGAAACTTGATAGTTTCGTGTAAACACATCACATTCCTGTATTGTATCTATTTTTAATTTCCTGTTTCTTGCTACTATGCTCTTTCCATGCAAATGGGTGTCTGAAAATTTGAGAAAATGCTACACAGTGTAAAGTCTGAAATTTTCTTTGTTTACATTTCAAACAGGTGTTGTCTTTCGAGCACAGCAGTAATTGTTTCCACCCCCAATATCTTTCGTTTCACTTTATCTAGACACTTGGTATTGGTGCCAAAAAGAACAGTTGTAATTAGATTCTAAAATGTATGAGGAATTCAGTAGCGATGGGACGAGTAGGAAACAATAGAATCGAGTACCCGGAAATGTAAGAAATACATTCGGGTAAACTTTCTGAATATTCAATCACGAAAGAGATTATTGTAGAAAACTTGAACAGTTGGTAATAAGACATTAAAACTGACCTAAAGCTATTTAATTTACGTCGGTTTAACCAATATAGAGAGTACCACCATTACTTACATTCCTCGTTATAACAACGAACGTTTTGTTCCTGCTGCTACTGTAACTTAACTACTCACTGCTCATGCACAGATAAATTACAGTCATTAAAACTATGCTCCATTAATCGGACAATACCAATGATGTAAAAACCGGGTTAGAATATGGATCTTCAGTAACCCATGCTTGTCGTAAGAGGCGACTAACGGGATCGGGTGGTCAGACTCGCTGACTTGGTTGACATATGTCATCGGTTCCCAATTGCGCACATCGATGCTCATGTTGTTGATCACTGGATTGTCTGGTCCAGACTCGATTATTTACAGACCGCCACCATATAGCTGGAATATTGCTGAGTGCGGCGTAAAACTAGACTCACTCACTCACTCAATGATGTAAATGTGTGTTAGGTCAAAAATGAAAAAGACAAGCTATTATCTGCCCTTTTCATTACAGAGCTCTCTCCCTTTCCGGATACTCGATTCCTAGAAATAGGACTCGATTCCAGCTGTACCTGACCCGGATTCGAGTACCCGAGTACCCGTCCCAGCCTTAGAATGCAGTGATTCATTTGTCGCTGCTGAATATGAAATACAAGTGATGTAATTGGCGTTTCAATACCGGCCTTCGCGAAACGTGATTTTGTAAACACTATCCAATAGGGCGCAAAGTGCACATTGGCGTTCGTGTGAGTGTATTTATGAAAACATCTGAACACGATTCCAGGCTTATCGGCAACGTTTCAGAATTATTAGTGATTTTATCAAAAACTGATATCATTGTTAATTAATATGCTATTTTTGAAAGTCTATACTCCAAGTGATTATCCGATTTTGTTTTGATATGTCCGTCTGGCATCGCTTCCCATCGATGGATTTTAATTATATTTTTACTAATCATTTCAGCAATAGGCCTAATTTAATTTTCATTCTTCGAATGTTTTAATTGAAGCGAAACATCTTTTAAAAATGCTGTATTAATTGATGAAAACTTAGTTAGCATAAACATTGCTCTCGCAACTGATGTGTAGGAAAATAAACATAACATTATTATGTATCTATTTCTGTTGTGAGTGATATGCAGGCCTACTTCGTAGTCACTTTGATTAAATGTTATATTTGAATATCGAAACCTTTTTGTCACAGCGAACACAACACTATCTCTTGTCATATTACACGATAATATTTGGAATGTTTAACTTATTTAAGAAATACACTTCGCTCTACCACCATGTATAATGTAATAAAACACACTTTTGCCCTGAACTATTATAGTTAAAGCACGAGGACGCTTGCGTCCGAGTGCTTTAACGTTATAATAGTTCAGGGCAAAAGTGTGTTTTATTACATTATACATGGTGGTAGAGCGAAGTGTATTTCTTTTCTAAGATGCCAAATTTAATACTTTCTAAAGATAATTACGATTAATTTAAGGCAGAAAACAAACGACGGTGTCGGTGACCTAAATTAAGAATCCTCGCACAGGGCTAACTGGCGCGCTGTTCTATTGATGCGTCTGCCCCCTACGTTAAGACGAACGTTACCAGAAAAAACAAATGATAACAGTTTGATGACGGTTTACGTTCGGATTAAATATCTTCTCTGAATTATTTTAATTACATCTGTCATTAACGTAAACCATATGGGGCAATATGAACGTTGCATTTCTACTACCAGCGTAAGTTTAGATCAG